CCCCTCCTTATTTTGCTTTTGTGACACCCGTGCAAGCCATATGGCAAACAAAAGAACAGTCCAGTTGTGGACACAACAATAGGTTGAACAACCAGACGTAACACTGTACCTCCTTCCACCACCCCCGCCCCACCCAGTCTCTCGCCTCAGGGCTGGTGAGAAACCACTCTTCCTTACGTTTATCCGGTTCTGACAGGTTTGAAAGCCCGCGATTTTTACCCAGGTATCTTCTGCTGTGGTCACTTTATCGTTCCTTTTGATGTCTCAAGTTGTGTTCTTTGTTCTCCTCCTAGTTTGTAACGTCCACGCCCCTCTCCTCTCTCTCTCTCTTTCACTCTGTATCTCTCTTTGTCTGTCGCTCTCTCTCTCACCCTCTTCCATTACTCTTGCTCTTCATCTCGGTCCCTCTCATTTCCTCTCTTGCCTCATCCTTCACTCTCCTTCAGTCTGTATCGTACCTTGATCTGTTTTGGCCCGATGTATTTTTTATTCCTGTACCGCATGCCGCATACTCTCTATTTCTTTCTCACACAAGTACATGTACGGTACTTTCAACAAAATTAAATACTCTTTCTATCCACCTCTTTTAACCCAAATTTGTTCCCTTTTTCTGAACTAGTTAATTCGCGTGCATCAGAAGTCATTTATAGTCGAAATGGTCTGAGATGGGCCATCCAATGTCGAAGAGAAAAGTGATCGTATTGGGCAGGTGGTCTTCTTATATTACAATTACAGTGTCATTATATTATTTTGTTTTAAAGTACGCACAGAAGGGAATGTACCAGTGATCGTCTTAGACAGGTGACTGATAAAGCAGGTTCGACTGCACAGGTGGTCATTTCACCTGTCTGATCTGAGCGTCGGTGGGTGCTTGGGGTGGGGGTGGGGGGCTGAGGGGTCAATGTGCACACTAAGTCTCAAACTTGGTCAACAAGACAGGTGAGATCACAGAACAGTACTGTAGTTTGGGCGACCAACGCTGTGTGTGTGTTGACAGACTGACCACTGACCAGGTCTGTGGTCAGACAGACCCCTCCCCCTCCCCCGTGCAACTTCCTGACTACGTCGGTTGTAGGTATACATCAGGTTAGCATGGACGGTGGTGCAGATAGCCGGCTACCTGTTCTAATGCCCCCGCCCTTGTCGCGGTCTGTCTGTCTGTCTGTTTCTCTCTCTCTCTCTCTCTCTCTCTCTCTCTCTCTCTCTCTCTCTCTCTCT